CTTTTTCATTCTTTGATCATATCATTTTTGAGATTGTCTTTATCAATAGGTTTGTCTTCATCAAAATACATTGGTAGCTTGTCTTCATCAATAGATTTGTCTTTATCAAAACACTTTGGAAGCTTGTCTTCACATTCTCCCCCTGTTTGATGATGACAAACATGAAAATTATGAAGGTTTTTCTCCCTCTAATAAAGATAACTCCCTCTAGATCAATGCTTACACTTGATCCTTGATTGCAATTTCTGGACAATTTGTTGCTTGCTGCAAAATGTTAGAGAAATGCATACACATACACATATATCTTCTCCCCCTTTGTCATTAGCAAAAAGGATGGGAAAAGACTTGAAGTATATAAAGATATTATGAAAAATAAAAAAAAAATTTACCTATTAGATTTACCTCATAAGTGACTTTATCAAACCTTCATCCTTGTCAAACATGATTTTGAAGCCTTAGTCACAAAGTTGACTTTTGTTTAGAAGATTTTGCTTCAATGGATGTGAAAGTTATTGCTCCAATTTTTCCAATTCAAAGAATTATTCCATTAAGTTATTCCCCATATGTGAAATAACCCTTGGAATTTAGAACTAGATTTAAAAGTTAGTTTACGCCTCCCATCAAAAGCTTAGAACAATCACTTATCAATAAAGCATAGATTTGAAGTGGTTTTCAAGCAAACCAACAAAACAAATTAAGTTTTATTTGCTATTCAGTGTACCTTGGGTTCTTCATAATTAGTTTCTTTATTAACCCACATATAATGTCCACTTGTCACACAAAAATTTCTTACATAGCAAGCATTAGGTGTATGGCCACTTATACCACAATAAAAACATGTTGGAATAAAGTTGCCTCTATATCTAGGAACATAGGATTTCTTTTTAGGAAATCTTTTCTTAGAATGATGATGAACCTTTTGTACTATATTAACTTTTTCTTTGTTGAATTTGTCACTTGCTTTAATAAAGATGGTTTTATTAGTACTTGGTTTGTTAAACTTAGAATAACCAAGACCATATTTATCATTTGAATATCTTTATTGGCTAAGAACATTTTCAATCCAACTTTGTCCTTTTTCATACCTTTCAGGAACTCTTTTTAATTTGAAAATTTGAAAAGAAAGTGAATCACACTCTTTGCATGTAGGATTTTGTTTTTCCTTTTCTAGAAGAATTTGTTTTACATCTTCAAAATTCTTTTCCATGGTGTCAATCTTTTTTTTGAGATAAAATTTATTTCTTTTAGGTTGACATTATTTTATACAACATCCAACATTCATTAAGGAGTTCTTCAATAGCACCTAAAGCATCATTATCACAAGAAGATATTTCATTACTAACCTTTTCTTCTTCTTCATCATCAAAATTATGTGTTGCTATCAATGCAATATTTACATGTTCTTCATCTAAAGATGAACTTATTTCATTGTCATTCCATGCTACATATGCTTTCTTTGGCCTTTTGTCCTTCTTTCTTTTGAAGTATTTATTCTTCTTTCCAAGTGCGGGGCATTCACTTTTAAAGTGTCCTTTTTCTCCATATTCAAAGCATTTAATATTCCTTGTTGGTGCTTCCCCTTTAATGATCTTGTTTTTTCTTTATTTTCTTAGAAACTTTTCAAACTTCTTGATAAGATCATCATCTTCATCACTATTGGACTCATCCTCTTGATTGCTATCATAACTTTTTAATTTTGTCTTTAAGGCAATGTCTATTGAATCTTTTACTTGTATTTCATGCTTCTTCAATCTTTCATGTTCTAATTAATGCTCTTGAAGTTTTCCGAACAAGGAAGCGGATGTCATGGTAGAAAGACTCTTCTTTTCTAATATTGTCGTCACCTTTGGTTTCTATTTCCTGTTTAAGATCTAAGCACTTTAAGATTTAATTCATCTCTAGTAAAAATCTTACCAAGAGCGATCAGGTGATTGGTTAAGTGAACAAATCTCTTATGTAGAGCATAGATTGATTCTCGGGGCTGCCTTATGAACATTTCATATTCCTAACTTAATGTATTCAGTCTAGATCTTTTGACTTCAGTGGTTCCTTCATAAGTTTCCACCAAGGTGTCCCTGATTTCTTTTGCAGATTTACATTGTGAAATGCGAAAGAATTCATCCATACTTAATGCACTTTGTAATATGTTAATAACTTTTTTTTCATAAAGTATTTTCTTTTTATCATCTTCATCATATGAAATTTTAATCTTAGTAGTGCTAACACCATTAAGCATACTAACTGGTTGATGAGGACCATTTTCAACAGTTTCCCAGATTCTTCTCCTTGGGCTTCTAAATGTGCTTTCATACGGATTTTCCAAAAGTCGAAATATTCTCCAAAAAATAAAGGAAGTTTGTTACTGCTGCCGCCATATTTGAAAACCAGATTTGCGCTAGTGGAAGTCATGTTGGACCTGTAGGAACATGTTACCTATAACCTGCTCTGATGTCAATTGTTAGTAAGAGTTGCACCTTAGAGGGGTGAATTAGGTACTTGAATATTTTTCCAAATTTTTGATGGTTTCAAATTTTACTTTCCTAATTGATTACTATGTGATGAATGCGATAAATGCAGAAAGTAAATGACACCAAAAAATATCCTAGTTCCCCTCACAGTTCGAGAGTACTTCAGTCCCCTTTCAACACGAAAGAGATTTTCACTAATGTTAGATCTTATGACAAGACACACCTAGTCTTCCTATACAAGACTCTAACAAAATACCAAAAAAAATCCTCTTGAATTTTTCGCTAAGTTAAAATGAGAACAATCCTCTCAAACTCTACTCTCTTGCTTCCAACAATCCTGGACAACAAGGATTATAATAAACCCTATAAGAAGAAACAATCCTCCTTCTTATAGTACACACCTAATTCCAAACAATCCTTGGAACTTAGGAATTTTTACAACAATTTATATAAAATAAATATATGAAGATTTGTAGTATTCTTTAAGACTTATAACAAACCTTCTTCTCTTTCAAGTATGAAAATTCAAGACAAATTCTCTCTAAGTGCTCAAGATGCTTTTATGATAATAATGTGAAAATGTATTTCAAAAAGTATCTTAGTATGGAAAATGTGTAGAAAATAAATGTAGAGAGATTTTAATATTTTTATGAAAGAGGTAAATTAAAAATGAAAATTTGAAATGAATTTATAGTGATGAAAGCAACCATTCAAAAGTCATGACAATGGTTAGAGAATTTATGAATTTTAATAAGAAAATGATGTAAGGGATACCATGAAAAGATGTGATGAAAATGTGCATTCAAACAAAGCAATTTTCAATTTTAAAATTAAAATACTGTTTCAGTTCGGTGCAAATTATGACAGTTTTATTTTTCTGTTACGAAGGTTCAAAACGCCATAATTTAACAAAAACTAAATGTTTGAAAAAATTGAAAATTTAAAAATTTGTCTAAGTATTTGAACCAATCTTATACAACATCCAAGAATAATCATAAAAAAAGAGAAGTCTCACAGTGAGATTCTTCATGAGTGAAATCTATTAATATCCATACTCATACTTTTAAAAAGCTTGAGAATAAATATGAGAGTATTCACAAACACATGTCCTCCTTGATTCAACCTTGTGAGTAACTTCTTAAGATATTGATATTGTGTTATATTCTTTAGATACCCTTGATCATCTTCATCCTTGTACCAAAAAACTATTGTTGTGGTTCTCAACTCTAAAGATTGAGTGTGAGTAAATGGTAATGTTTTTTTGTGAAGTTTTGTTGTGTGTATCAAGAAAAAGAATCTTTTTTGTCTATGAAATTAGGTGGTGATTATCCAACAAGAGAAGAGTTCTCTTTCCTCCATGGAACACTTTGGTGGAAATAAGTAAAGGTTTTTGCTGAACGAAGTCAGGAGTTGTCCAATCATTCTAGTAAAGAACAATCGCTCGGACAAGAAACCAGTAGAGTCGAGTAAAGGTTATTATATAACGGAGACTTGAAGCAGGATTATTGTGTCTAGCAAGATCGTTGGATCAAGATCATTGAAAATCTTGAACATTTGAAGTTTGAGTAATTTGCTTCAACAAAAGAGAAAGTCAATCTAGATCTATGTTAGTTAAAACATTGAGATTGTAGTGTTCAGAATATTATTTATCCGTTTTACCAAAATACTTGTATATTAAATTATTGAAGATTCAATGATGAAAGTATATATGGTGTACATTTGATCATATACTTAATTTTGATAATCATTAAAATATCATCTAAATTTTTTATTTTTCTTATAGTATTTTATCATATAAGTTTAAGTTTGGGAAGCATCTAATTCAATAATTACATTTATTCCAGGAGTACAATTGTAAAGACTTTAATTTTGAATTAAAATCAATCTTTGATATATTTCAATTTTGAACTATGCACAAAGTTGAATATGATCCATTTTTAATTGCAAGAACATGTTGAATATTGATTGAATTATGTATATTAAACATACATAAATGATATAAAAGCATAGTTAAAGAAGAGAAAGAAAATATAAAAGGGACAATATTATATTCTTATTTATCAGCGGAATTTTACCGTATACTATCATATAAATCATATTTATAAGACCAAATGATAACAAAATGATCAATATACATTAACAAAATTAATCAATTTACTCATAGACAAATATTGAACTTCAACAATGTATTATTCATAACATGAACAATCACTTTATGTTTCAAATGTCAATCGATGTCACTGTATTTTTTTTGAGTAAATGAAACATATATCACTTCTAAAAAACTCAATAGATAAAGTATATACTAATAGAAGACACATTCGAAGAGGAAGCTAATAATAAAAGACAACTAATGTGAGGGAATGAGGTTGGTTTGGTGAGATGATGAAATGCGATGCAGCCAGCTCCACGTCTCTCCACCAGTGTTGTTTGGTGGGAGAAAGAGACTTTCAAAATTTCAAACCTCAAAAGTTGAAAAACATAGCAATAATAAAACTGTAGCATGAAGCAAAAATAGCCATACAAACAAAAATGATGAAAAACAAAGAGCAAACTCTCATTTTTCCTTCTCACACCCCCTTCTCAGAAGACCACACCCTCCCCCTCTCCCACCTCGACACCGATCGCAACCTCCACCTAACCATCCGCTACCTCCGCGCTTACACTGCCACAACCACCATCCACCACCACAACAACCCGTTCCACGTCATCTCTTCCTCCCTCTCACAAACACTCCCTCATTACTACCCACTCGCCGGCACACTCCGCCACCGCAAACACCCTGACAACCGCCTTGAACTATTCTGTACCGCCAATCAAGGCATCCCTCTAATCCACACCACCGTAGACTTCACTCTCGACTCCGTAAACTACCTCGATGACCCTGCTTCGCCTTTCGTCGAACAGTTGGTGCCCGACCCAGAACCCGAAGAGGGAATGGAGCATCCATGTATGCTTCAGCTAACGGTTTTCAAGTGCGGTGGGTTCACTCTCGGTGCGGCGATTAATCACTCGCTATGCGACGGAATGGGTGGGACTCTGTTTTTTAACTCGGTGGCTGAGTTGGCTCGTGGGGCGACTCGGATAACAGTGGAGCCTATATGGGATCGAGAGAAGTTGTTGGGTCCAAGGGATCCTCCCCGAGTGGATTCGCCGTTGATTAAAGAGTTTCTGAGTTTGGACAAAGAATTTTTGCCATATAAAGAGAATGTTGGTCCTGTTGTGAGAGACTGTTTTCATGTGAGGGATAAGTGCTTAGAGAATTTCAAAAGATTGTTGTTTGATCAATCTGGATTCAACTTCACCACTTTTGAAGCTCTAGGTGCCTACATTTGGAGATCCAAGTAAGTTTTCATGGTTTCAAACAATTAAAATTTGTGACACTGTTCAATATTGACACGACTGTAATTGTTTTTGGCTACAACAGGGTAAGGGCTTCACGAGTGGAGGATAATGAGAAGGTTAAATTTGCATACTCAATTAATATTCGAAGATTAGTAAAGCCATCACTACCTATTGGATATTGGGGAAATGGTTGTGTTCCAATGTATGTTCAAATGAGTGCCAAAGATTTGGTAGAGAGACCTATTTGGGAAACAGCAGAGCTGATAAGAAAGAGTAAAAGCAATGTTAGTGATGAGTATGTTCGTTCCTTCATTGATTATCAAGAGCTGCATTTCGGCGATGGGATCACAGCAGGGAAATGGGTGAGTGGGTTCACTGATTGGAGACATTTGGGTCATTCTACCGTGGATTTTGGATGGGGTGGCCCTGTTACTGTTTTGCCACTTGGAAGAAACTTGCTTGGGAGTGTTGAACCTTGTTTCTTCTTGCCTTATTCGACTGCGAGTGCTGAGAAAAAGGATGGGTTTAAGGTTTTGGTGACTTTGAACGAGGCAGCTTTGCCTGCTTTTAGGGAAGACATGCAAATGTTTGCTGGTGGCCAAGAGACCGCACTCTTGCCGCGCATTTGATGATATGAGCCATTGATTTTATGTGAACAAATAAAGATGAGTTTAGACCTCAGGTATTACAAGGCATATGTTATAAGAATTAGGTTTAGGATATCAATATGCAATAGTGCATCACTGAAATTCTCATTTTGGGATGGTTGTATTGTATCAAGAGAGTATATTGTTGTGTAAAGTTTTGTCTTCAACAAGTCTATAAGCAAAATTCATCCATTTTGTGTTGTGAAATTGAACATTGTGGTTCGAATTTGTACTTCAATACTCTGTAGCATTTTATCATCTGAGTATTTAAAAGCTATTCTTGATTATGTTGTCTAAAGTTTTATTCCTTAATATAAATTAAATTTCATCCATAATTAGTTTACCCTTAAGTGAAGAGTGACATTGAGTTAGCTTATAAATGATGAAAATGTCTGAGACTAGTGCTTTATTGTTGTGATAAAAGTTCTCTTTGTTTTAAATGAGTTTTATAGTATAATATAATTTTGTGTAAAAAAAATTTATAAAGAAATTTTTTATAAAAATTTTGAATGAAAATTTGGTTTGAATAGTTATTTTGAAAATGTTATTGAGAATATTTCAGCATTTTATTGAAAAAAAATTTAAATATCAATTTTTTTAAAAAAATTATTTAATTTTGAGGTTATTGCATATAGCTTTTCATAAAAATTATTTTTTATATGCAACTTTTTGAAGAAAAAAAAGTGATTTCAACTATGTTTTGATCTTCAAAATGTATGTTTGTATTATAGGATGTTAAAATTGTTGGGTGTAAATATAGAAGTAGGAAAATGGTCTAGAGGGGTTGAATAGACAAAAAAAAAATCAACCGCTTTTTCAAAAAGTATCTGAGATTTTTCAAAAGATGCGTGCAAAAGATTTTAGGTGAAAATATGAAAATTATACTTTTCAAAGTTTGATCTCGGTAACACTAAATTAATTCACATAAACTCCACAGACAGTTTGATGATGATATACAAAGGTATTCAATTGATTCAATTGTATATTTCACAAGATGTGATTATATAATGATTCAATGACAATGAATTCTAACTTCAATTATTTCTCAAAGTCGTAATCACCAATACAGCTAGATTAGGCATCAATTATAACAAAATACCAATTGAATAAACGATAAACTACGCTAGAATTAAAATACCTAAGCATGCAAATCCTACGAAAATAAAATGCAAGAGTAAGAATAGAGATGACACCGAGATTTATAGTGCTTCGGAGTTCGTCCTCGCTTTGTCTACGTGCACTCTTCAATGGTTTCTCATTGGAATCTGCATTGTTCCTTTTTATTTGAAAAATATTTGCAAGACTTCATACAATCATCAATCCACAATAACGTTGAGAATTATAAAATCTCTTATAAGGATCTTGACTTGTATACAGCGTAATGCCAAACTCTTCTGTGTAATCTTTATTCAATTTACACTTCTTAAATCTTTCAATATCACCAATATGAACCAAGTCATCGTGTGTAGTGCCGCATCGCAAAAAATACGACCTACGAGCGTTCGCGTGCTTGCGAAATGAATGAATAGAGTCGCACCGAACTTTATTTATTCTAATGAAGGAAAGGGAAAATATTGATAAAAACCTAAAAAGAAAAAGAAGATGGTTGTGGAAACCGAATTCGGGTTCGGGAGTCGATTATGCGAGAGGAGTTTATTAGCACCTCTCACATTCGTTGTACTCAATGAGAACCATTTAGTCAGATTTGCGGATAGAATATTAGCTTACATTATTTGCTTTTTTTGAATGATTAAAAGTGTAAAGGTAAAGAAAAGGAATCGCAAAAAAGTTTTTATTACGGTGCTTGTCGAGATTGCAGGTCTCGCTTCTACGTATCCTCAGGTATAATGAGGAATTCAAAGCAACATAGTTCTACATAGAAAATTATGTATTCGTTGGTTGATTTTATTGAACGAATATTTAGACCGCGTTCTAGTGATTAAACGTTGCTTCTGCTTGCAATTAGGGGCTTAAAGAGTTTGTTTGTATTGCGGTATAACAAACTAAACAGTGTTCTTTTTTAAAATGTTTTCGATCGCACAGGGAGAGAAAATAGTTTGATGTGTTGAGAATATTTTTGGGTGATTGACGAATATTTGAATGGTAGGCTAATTACGACCATCAACACGAATACTCGAGGTTACAAGGAACATGTACGTCAAACCCAACCTTTTTCACTCGAGTTATTTATGAAATTGGTGCAACAAGTTAAGTCATGTTTCTTCAATACATGACGAGCACTTGCGCGGGAGGCTAGTTAGAACCATCACACAATTACTCGGGATTACAAGGGACAAGTACACCCAACCGAATCTTTTTCGTCCACGAGAGAGTAAACTCAATTCGGTTATTTAACGTGTTTTGAGTCCATTGCCGAATATTCAAACAGTGGGCTAATTACGACCATCACACGAACATTCAAGGTCACGAGGGACAAGTACGTCCAACCCAACCTTTTCCAATCGTTTAATTATCATGAAAAGCATTTCGAAACGATAACTTTTGCAAAGTTAGATTTTCCTTAATTCGAAATTGATCAGACAAACAAATTTTGAAAGTACCGTTTGACGTTGAATCAAAGGTTTTTTAATTATTAAATTTTATTATGATTGAATTATTTAGTTAATTAAAGCAGTTACAAAAAATGATGAAACCAAATAAAATCAAAAGGATGGGTGTAATCGAAATATAGGGATGATATAAAAAAAAAAAAATCTAAACCTGGCCCAAAGGCCCACAAAATCCAAAAAAAATAAAAATAGTTGTACTTATTAAAAGAGGGGTGTTGAGTGTTAAAAAAAAGCCCAACTAAAGTCCACACTAAAGGCCTACGTGCTCGACCAAAAGGGGTTAAGGGAGTCAGTAATTGACTCCAATTAAGGGCGTTTGATTAATTGACTAAAGGTTAATCATGATAAAAAAAATGTAAGGTGATGGTGCACACTGACTACAGTAGGGCTCCCTATACAGGGGCCCTAGAGTCAACCATCAAGTCATCTAATCTAAGGGCTCTAGAAATAGTCGTGTGGGATTAATGCATGCAAAGGGCGCATGGGTACAAAAGCCTAAAGCTGAGAGAAAAAAGCTCATGTGTGCCTCCTCTTTCTCTCTCTTCATTCCTCCACACACACTCTCTCCTACAAACATAAACCAACCACCAAAATCCACCAGAGGTGGGTCAATCACGATGGAAAAGCGGAGGAAATGAAGAACAACCAAGAATAAAATATGAATGTTTATCAACATTCATCTGGATTTTCCATAAAGTTCCCAAATCACCTCAAACCATAAACTTTCCAACATTAACCCTCTATTAATTTACCATCTGATCATGAATTAGGCCATGAAAACAACAAGCAAACCATCAAATGGCCAGATAGAAACTCACTTATTACAAGTAACCTACCCTTCCAAAGTCATCAAAACTCAACATAAATAACAAACCTTATCCAGTCTTCCCCAAGTATGAATCAAGCCACAAAAATTACACAACAGAACATCATAGAAGCCAAAACGAACGAAAAATTCCCAATGCCCGCAGAAATCCATAGACCTCAATAATTAATTTCATCGATTACCTGCAATGATAACAACAACTCAAAACTCAGAGAAGATGACAAGCAACCACAATACAACAAATGAATCAAAACGGAAAGAAAAAACCTTGTCAGAGTCTACAACTCTGGCGAGTACTTTGGTGGCGTTTCTTTGTACCTCAGGTAAGTTTCAAATCTTTTCTCCCTGCTTCTGTTTGATGTGTTCTTCCCGTTTTCCACTCCTTTCATCTGGGAACTTGTGAACTCGGTGAGTGCAATTAGGTACCGTGAGGTTTTCAACTCTTGATTAACTTAAGTTCTAATGATGAAATTGAGTAATATTTAGGAGAGATTTTAGTGAGTGAAGAGTTTAGTTTCCATAGCGTTTTCTTGGGGAATTTTTCTTTGTCCTTTAGAGTGAGAATGAAGGTATATTATATAGAGGGAGTGAGTGATGAATTCTGAGGGAAAATAGAAGGAAGAGTAAGTTACTACCTCTGTCTCATTTGCACTTTTTTCATGTCTCAAAATAAATGTCTTTTTAAAATATCAATATAATATTTATTATTTTTTTTCACTTTATACCTTTATTTATTAACTTTCACATTTTTCAATTACTCCACTAACTATAATAAATAAGGACATTTTTGTAAAAGACATCAATTTTATCATTAAAATCAACACATCTAATTATTTTTTTAAGAATTGCGCACATCTCAAACAAGAAATTTATTATGAGATAGAGGTAGGAGTTGTTGTAATTTGGATGGAAGAATTGTGTTAACCTTTGTGAAATTTTGGTGATCCCAGTGAGCTAGATTAAGTATTGGTTGAGATTGTTTTAGATTAGGATTTTGTTACATTTTGTGCCTCTTTATGGATGAATGATCATGAGTTTGATGGCATGGTGAGGGATGGATGAGGGCACACGCATTTTATGCCTGAGTTGTTTTCTTGGTCAATTGTTTTGATTTTGTTTATTCAATTGTCATTATTAGGTATATGGTATTCGTGTGGTATGTTGATGATGGAAAACTCACATGAATTTTTTGTTGCTGCTGGTTCTAACTAAATTAAAAATTCATGTATGATGTTAATATGGGATAGTGGTATGGATTGAAACATGATGTTTGTGAAAACTTACATGAATTTCCCTTTGATTTTGAATGATACATGGATGTTACAAGGGCACGAAGATGACGGTGCGTGAACTTGGTATGATGGTGATGCAGATGAAGAGGAAAATGTGGGATGATGCGAAGATGGATGGCGCATGGGAGGTACCCTTAGGCATTTTGTTTCTTTTTGTTAACATTTTCGTATTCATTTTAAAAAACAATGTAACAAAACTTTTCTTTTTTACGTTCCTTTTGCTTTATCAATGTAAAATACAATGAGATATTCAATGTAATAAAAATATTTTTTTTCATATTCTTTTTGTTATAT